TTGATGAAAATTCTGAACAGGAACAGAAGCATAAAGAAACAAACAATAGCAATGCTCAGAATCCCAGTGCCGAAGTTCAGGGGGATGAACAGGATGAAGACATTTTACCTTTAACCCTTGAAGAGAAGGAAAACAAAGAATACTTAAAGTCTCTATTTGAAATTTTGATTCTTATGGGAAAACAAAACATACCTCTGGATGGGCATGAGACCGACGAAATCCCGGAAGGTCTGTTTACACCTGATAACTTCCAAGCTTTGTTGGAGTGCCGGATAAATTCTGGTGAAGAGGTTCTGAGAAAGCGCTTTGAGACCACAGCCGTTAACACATTGTTCTGTTCAAAAACACAGCAGAAACAGATGCTAGAGATCTGTGAGAGCTGTATTAGGGAAGAAACCCTCAGGGAAGTGAGAGACTCACACTTCTTTTCCATCATCACTGATGATGTGGTGGACATAGCGGGGGAAGAGCACTTACCTGTCCTGGTGAGGTTTGTTGATGAATCCCATAACCTGAGAGAGGAGTTTGTGGGCTTCCTGCCTTATGAAGCTGATGCAGAAATTTTGGCTGTGAAATTTCACACTACAATAACTGAGAAGTGGGGACTAAATATGGAGTATTGTCGTGGCCAGGCTTATATTGTATCCAGTGGATTTTCTTCTAAAATGAAAGTTGTTGCTTCTAGACTTCTAGAAAAATATCCCCAAGCTATCTACACACTCTGCTCTTCCTGTGCCTTAAACATGTGGTTGGCAAAATCAGTGCCTGTGGTGGGAGTATCAGTTGCATTGGGAACAATTGAGGAAGTTTGTTCTTTTTCCTTCGACCACAACTACTTTTAGAACTTGACAGTGTAATTTCAGTTCTTTTCCAGAACAGTGAAGAAAGGGGTAAAGAATTGAAGGAAATATGTCATTCTCAGTGGACAGGCAGGCATGATGCTTTTGAAGTTTTAGTGGACCTCCTGCAAGCACTTGTTTTATGTTTAGATGGTATAAATAGTGACACAAATATTAGGTGGAATAACTGTATAGCTGGCCGAGCATTTGTACTCTGTAGTGCAGTAACAGATTTTGATTTTATTGTTACCATTGTTGTTCTTAAAAATGTCTTATCTTTTACAAGGGCCTTTGGGAAAAATCTCCAGGGACAAACTTCTGATGTTTTCTTTGCAGCCAGTAGTTTAACTGCT